CATTTCTGTCTTTGTAAACATTATTAGAATCTAATATAGATTAAGGGGGTCGACTGGATGGGTTAACCATCAGATTTTTGACAGACCCTTCTTCTTCTTCTTCTTCTTCTTCTTCTTCTCCTCTTCCTGTTCGGACTACTGTAGCAGCAGTCGAAACAAAGGCAAAATAAATGTCTAGAATGGCAGTATGTTAACATGTTTCAATAATCGGTTAAACCTAATATCATATGTACAAAAAATGAGGAGTATTAGATGTTCCCATCAACATATTTTGATTCTGTTAATTTCAATGGGGAGAAGTAGTTTTTTTTTTAGAAATTCAAATATATTCAATAAGTAGAGCCACAAATCGAACAACTAATGTTTGCTTTTAGCATAGATTTTTTTTTTGAAATATAGAGATGGCATTCTGGATGGGTGTTGTAGCCCCATCACAGAAAGCAAACTCTGAGATTGTTTATGCCAAATTTCGGTCTCATTTGATGATATCAGGCACACATTTTTACCAATGTCTACATGTAGATAAGTGAAAATATAGTACTTCAAAGCTCAAGGGTTGTGGCCTCCATTCAATTTAGATCACGATCCCCTATAGTAACTTTTACCTTATCCAATCAACCCAGAGAAAGAGAAATGCCTTTCATTGGGATTTGATGAAGAGAGGAGGGCACAGCAAGGAACATGCCACCTTCTACCAATCTTAAGAGAATGTAGAATGGCTAGTGGCTCTGCCAACCTTTGCTTTAACCAAACAGGTAATCCTCCCTCCAGAGAAGGGTTTCTCAATGGGACTTGATGAAGAGAAGAGGGCACAGAAAAGAATAGACCATATGATCCAACCACAACAAATGTAGAATGGCCAGTGGCATTACCAACCATCAAGGAACAGACCACCTGCTGCCAACCACAACGAAAGGCTAGTGACTGCCAACCAGTGCTTTTAATGATAGAATGGCCATTGACCCTAATCCAACCACAACCAGTGTAGAATGGTCACTCTGTTGACCATTGCTTTCACCAACAGGTAAGCCTCCCTCCTTCATGTTTGTTTTTTTTTATAGCATAATTCATAAATGTCAACTGTCAGTCAAAGTTTTCATGTAATATTTTCAATGGAAACTCCAACAAATGACACAAGTTGGCTCACATTTACTAAATTTGCTAACTTTTAAAAGCTTGGAATTCTCAGTGTGCACCTGTGGACCATCCTGAATTAGAAATAACCTTTTTCAATTGCATCTTCAATGTGCTGCTTTGGATTGTAAGGTTTACCATAGCAGGCAAGGAACAGGATAGTTACGGCCTGGCTTGTGAGGCAGTTCAATAACAATCCTAGTCAATAACTTTCATTTCTATATGCAGTACATTGCATCATTGACTGCATTACATCATAAGTTTTCTTCATCTTACCAAGGATAAAGAAAATATTCCAAAAAAATCATTACACATAGAAAACAACAAATGTCTATGAGGACAGTGAAACCACATCAGGTAAGCAAACTAAAGATGCTTCAACAAGTAGCATGTGGTTCTTTCATAAAAAGAAAAAGAAGCACATCATTTGAGGAAGGAAAACAAAAGTAGTTGTGGATAAGATTTTCACCTATCACAGAACTGAAGGCTTAGGTCTGTGAGAGATTTACAGTTCTCGCCTATGGCAATGATTCCTTTATCTCCAACCTAATAATGACAAAGCCAAAATAGCATGTTCCAAAATAGCATATGTTTATTAAAATATTCAGTTAACAAACATCTAAGATTCAGATCTTGAAAAATAGAAAGGAATAATAAAAAATGATAATAGATATTGTAAACTGTCCTGTAGGCTCAGTTTGGTTCTCTGTAAAATGGATGTAATCAGGCTGAAATATTTCACCATTATTTCTGACCCTTTTGTAGAAAAAACTTTGGTTTGCACCTTTGCACCTTGCCAATTTGTTTTGATGTAAATAGCAAGAAAACCACATTTTTATCATAAAAGGGATGATAATATAGCTTAAATATTTCTTCCTGCAAAACTTATGCCCATTTTACGGAGTAACAAATATTGCAAAAGATAAACTTCAGTATTATAAAAGCTATACTAATAATCTCAGCTGGAATCGGAAGTTCTGAAAGAAAAAAGTCAAGCACTCTAACAGGAAAATTTGCCACCAACTGCAAGTTAAAGATATCTTGGGACAAACAAACAAGTAGAAACGAGAAAATACAACATGAAAGGACAAATGGGATGTTAAGACCTTAACATCTGTAGGTGACATTCACTAAAACTTTTTTTTTTTTGATAAATGATTCACTAAAACAAAAATTAATTAATTAATCAATTGATTCTCAATCAAATTATACCAAACTATTAGCTTATTAACTCCACATCAATCTACTTTCACTGATTCACTCAGAAGTAGAAAAATGGGCATAAAAAAAACTCATCCGGTTCTTAGACCTTTCAAAATAAAACAAATTTTAAGCCTTGAACATACTCCTTGCTAAACAACTCCACCTTTATTGGGAAGAGTATCACATGTAAATCAACTAGTTTGAGCTCCTCAAAAAGGGAAAACTCATTTGCTCTCCTTCACCCAATACTCCAATAGATGCTTCCTTTATAAAGCTAATTGTTAGAATACTATCCACATATTAATCTCCTGCCCTTCTGTCTCTAGTGTTTGGCAATCCCTTTCTCCTGTTTGATGCAATGTGAACAAATACAATGGAGTTTAAGCCAATTGACAGATCTTTTGGTCCATGAGAAAGTGGCTCCTAATCCCCCACTAACTTTTCCTCTCCACCGCCCAAGAGAGACAAAGTTATGTGGAGATACACACAAGCTGTAGTACCATAGACCATTTGGAGGAAAGAAATGCAAGGATAATCGATATTCTCTAATAAAGAAAAAAGATGCTAATCAATCAATAGCAGTTAGGGTTGGAAATTGGGCAAAAACAAGTGAAGAATTTAGGAATTTCACCACTGATGAAATCATTAGGGGATAATATAATGTGGCTGCTTTAACCATGGCTGGTGTTCCCTAGGTATCTTGGACTACCTTCACTTCAAATGTCATCTAACTCAACTTTGATGGTTGCAATTTGGGGAATCCTGGCCTGTTTGAGATTGTTGGGGCTTCATGGTTGTAGGTTGAGATGGTATATGCAGTCCTAATACTGGAATCCTGAGAAGGCAGATTGACTGAGAATGTCAAGACTGCTGGAACAGACCAACAGAAGGCAGTTAATCAGTTTTACAAGAGGAGGCCACGTCAGCACAACTAACTATCCACTTGTAATAACTGCCATCCACTGGTAACAACTGCCTTGTAACAACTGTAACAATCAAGATTGTAAAACTATAAGTAGTAGAGCAGAAAAGGGAATAGGACGTTGATTCTTTCAGCATTAAACTCTCTCTCTCTCTCTCTCTTTTTCCTCTCTCTTCTTCCAAGAATTCAGGAGGTTGGCCCCTCGAAGAGCCCTGAGTTAGGCAGGTTCCTAACAATTTGGTATCAGAGCCAGCATGACCAACACAAGAAACACGTCAGTAGACACATGAGTGGAT